ATATATATATATATATATAAAAACTCAATATACTGGATTTTTATTTAAAACTATGATTTTAATGTTATCATCTAAATTTGATTGTCAGTAGAGATGATAACTAGAGAAAAAAGTTGTAATTTTGCTACAATATACAGGATGTGTCAGCAAAATTCGAACAAAACAAACAGTTTATTATAACAATTGTTTATTAGTCAAAAACTTAAACTTACAAAAAAGCTTTTATATGTCATTTAAGGGATTCTTCCTGAGTCTTGTTATTCAATGTAATTCCCTTTCACTTCAATCACTGCTTTGATTCTCTGCCTGAAGCATGAGTATATGCTTCTCTTTAAATGCTCTCGGTCCAAATCTGCGAATGCTGCCTCAATAACGATTTGGAGGGATACAACATTGAGGTGTCTGGACTAATTAAAGGTGACCCAACACACTAATATTATCAGTATTAACAAATACTGACAAATATTACTGATTGTGTGTGGTTATTGATGGATTGATGTAGAATACTGATAATCTGGATTTTGATTCCCGAGCTTCAGTATCGCTTTATTGGGATCCATGTCACAGGTATGTCACAGTACAATAAATTAAGTATGTGAAACTAAAATGAAATATATTGTCAATAATACTGATCGTTTAAGATTGTAAAAATACTAAAAATATTGATGCACGTACTGTCAATATTATTGGTTCAATATTACTAATTAATATTATTAATTAATATTATTGACCGTGTAGGGTCATCTTTAATAATTTTCGATAACGCTCCACACGTAATAGTTTAGAAGGTTTAAATCTGGATTATTGAGAAGCCAGAATTTCTTGGAACAAAACATGTCTACATTGATCTTGGCAGCTTCAGAGAGCATTTGTTGTACCTTGATCGAGATACATATAGAATCTGTATCTTAAGTCCTCGTAAGCGATCCGATGTATGGTGGCCTCACTCACCTTCAAGATGGTCACCAATTTCCTAATTTCGACGTTTCTAGAACTTCCGAAATAACTCTTATATTCTTATACTCTTCGAACAATTGCCGGAATCTTTGCTGTCTTCTCCTCCGAATGAATTTTTCTCGTCGGATTAACAGAATCCTCCTCGGACTTTTCCGAAATCGGATATTTTTGTGCGATGCTATTTACAGTCGATCTCGGGTATCCGAAGAACTTAAGTCGGCGATTTTCCAGTGCGATAACCTTCAATATATTATATATTGCTCTTTGATTATATTCTGCACTTGATCTCATTAACGCAGTCATTTCGAAATTATGCATGTTTAGGCCGAGTTTCACTCATGGATAACTCTTAATCAAGGTTTAACTTATTCATCTCTTTATAATGCTAGAATTGGAAAAAGATGAGAAATAAATTAAACCTCGATTAACCGTTAATCATGAGTTATAAAACTGAACCTTAGGTTTAGTTTTTCATTATCTGATTAACTTGTGATTAAGCTTAACCTAATATTTTATCCAATGTTACTTCATCTGTGATTCATGGTGTCATGGATGATGTCCATTGGATGAAACATCAAGTTAAGCTCAATCACAAGTTAATTAGATAATGAAAAACTTTACACATCTAACCTCCAAACATCAACAAACACATATTACTAAAGTCAAATATAACAGGAAATTGAAATTAAACTTTGTCCGGATTTTGCTGACGCATCCTATATAAGATATAGCGAAAGAAAACGAATGAGAAATATCGAATTGATATGCAATTAGAAAATAATTAGCTCATTTACAAAAACTTAAAAAAAATTTAACAAGTATTACTTATTATGTTAAGGTAAATGAACTATATCAGTAAAAACTTTTATATTGTCTACTATAATGGAAAAAAATATTATAAATCCAAAATACTTATTTTTTCTATTAAAAAAATTTTTTTTAATACTTCCATTTTTGCCGTATCTCATAAGAGTGGGATATATGGCTACTTAGATAATATATACATATATAATAAAACATTTACAAATAATGTTTAGAAATGAGACGTAATATAAAACAATAATTTATGAAATGAATTACAAAATTTTATTAAAGAATAAATATGATAAATACATATACGAAGTAATAAATGATAATCATCTTTTGCATATATTAGAAATGAAGTATACACATTTCATGTAATGCATTTATTGCACTTAATGCACTGAATTTAATCTGCGCACTTTATATGATTTTGACATAAATTTCGCTCATTAAAAATGCCATATATCCCAAACAGATGGAATATATAAGATGTTAAGCTAAACAAAGTATATAAAAACTAAGCAATTGTGCATTTTTGTTATATCTGTACTATCCCTCTATACTTATCATCAAATTATCTTTTGCAATTCTATGATAATCATTTTATGTTTATGGGCTATGATTGCGCTACTTGTTATATTGACAAATCGATTCAATTGACAGCAAAATTTTATTAATATTAACAATAAAAAACTGAAATCATAACACAATACTAATATAACATAAAGGCATACAATAGAGTAATTGCATGCAAATTATCCTCCTTTTATTTTTTTTTTATTTTTGCGGTGTAAATCCCTGTGCGGCGTAAATACCGAAGTTACCATATGTATGATAAAACCATTATTAAATTTTTAGTTTTTCTATATATGTAAAATAATACTCCAGTCATTGTACTTTTTATATCATTTTCTTAAATTAATAGTACATTCCGATAAATTAAGAGTCGAAACACATAATTGTAACTGATAGATGACAATCTGAAAGAGGAAATACAATACAATAAATGATTACTGATGATCGATGCGTGTCTTAAGATAAAGATAAGGGATAATTTAGATAGGTTAACAGAAATTCTGAAATTATATCAAAAATTAAAATTACATAATGTATTCTATAATATATCATATAAAATATATACTATTGATGTAATAGAATATGTTTTGTATGTTTGATTGAATACACTATGCGATCTTAATCTTTTATACAATTTCAAATTTTTTGTTCCTATTCAAATTATCCGGTTTTATCCTATACTTACATTGGCAGAAGAGTCGAAATAATACGTTCAGCTTCTTCTGGGGGTGGTGGAAATTCCTGCGTCGAAACACCTGCTGGATCCTGAGGCTCTGGACAATCCGGAACCGGACGTAATGCTAGTAGCGCCATTTTCGCTTTCCGACCATTCATGCTCATGTAACCGTCGTCCTCGGATTGGTGTCCTGCTGACATACGATTTTCAATTTATGATAAATTTTCCAAGAGCGATATAGAATAAGGAATGAAAGCGCGCAGGGAAAGAACGGATATTCTCGCGAGACTTTCCAGGACAAAAACGATTTAATTCACCGAAGTTCCGATGTACTTTAAAAGCAACGTCTTTTACAATCCTTTTCAAACAGTTTCCGAAATTGAACAAAAATCGCATTACCTCCATCGATGTTTAGTATTTCATGATCCTAGAAATACGATAAAACATTGCAAGCACTGATATCCCAAACTGCTAAAAGCAATTCGAGGGAAGTGAAGTAATAGAAATCGATCGTTCAGTCATTTTTCTTCGTACTTCACACACTTCTGACTTATAAAAGAAAAATTTTTTATATTTGTAACTGTAATTATTCGGAAAAAATGATCATACAAAAGTGATCATATATGATCATGTGTGAAAATTCCATGATCGTGTTCCATGAATTTTGACTTGACATGATCACGTACGATCCGATTATACGTGGTTATTATACTAATTTAGATATAACTATATATTATACTATCATGCATGATTTTATATGATTATGCATGATCATATTTGATCATATGTGATCATGCATTGTCGCATAACGACACGTTCATATATGGTTCCATAAAACAAATTCATACGTGAAAGTAAATGACCATGAATATACACTCAACAATTCATGATCACATACGATTATTATATTAGTATTAAAAATTATATATTATTTAATGAATGATTTTGTATATCGCTTTCGCAGTGAATATTATCATGGATACCATAATATCAATTCCTTTTTCTCACTCTCATAATCAGGGAAAAATAATAGTAGCAATTATAAAGAATACAACTAACTTAGACAAGTTTTATATCTAGAAGTAATGTGTGTCGTGTGTGTGTGTGTGTGTGTGTGTGTGTGTGTATGTGTGTGTGTGCACATATAGTTGAATAAATTATTTTATAGTCAATTAATGAAATAGTTTATTTAACTATTATATTATATACACTGTTAGAAATGTAAACATGAGCTTCCTTTACATGTAAATGAAGCTTATGGTGATGAACAAAATTAAAAGTAATGAATGATTTAACTGAAAATTAAGATACAATAATTATTTAAATGAAATAAACGTATACATTAAATTTATGAAATTTAATGTACTTTTAATAAAATTTTATGAATATATTAAATTTCATAAATTTTCATGAAAAATATATTAAATTTTATGTACCCAGATATACTTTTTAGTTATAAATACATTAAATTTAATGTAATGTCACGAAATTAAATTCAAATTGTGTAACTTAAAAATTAATAAAATTTAAGAACATTTCTAACAGTATAATACATATATATAGTTCAGTAAACTATTTTATAGTTAACTATATATAACATAGTTTATTTAATTATGTACACATTAGTTAACTATAAACTATAAACTATTAATTTTACATATAAAGCTTGTGTAATTATCTTTATTGATATTACTACTATGTTCATGCCTGAGTGCATGAGAGTAAATAATCCCCAGTTAATCATTCGCAGGTGCACTGGCGAGAGTGAGTGCTGTCGATAGAATGCCGATGATTTCTGTACGAGAGAGTCCAATTCTCATCTC